CCTTTGCAAGGCAGCACCGTGGCAGCTGGCTGTGAATGCATGCATGGATTCTGGAGTAGATCCACGTGGATGTGAAGCTGAAGCAGGGATGCTGCAGTGCAGGGGATTTTGTGGCCATGAACCTGGAAAAACAACAGCCCAGAGGTTTATGGAGGGTATGCTGGCTGGCTGGTGGAATGCAGAGCAGCCTCAAAAAGGAGTGAGAACATCAGTGGTTGTCACTCGAGACCTCACCAGAGTGAATAGTTTAATAAAACCAGAGATGAGCACCTCAAAGCCTGGCTTTCAAAATAAGGCTGACTTTTCAGGGGTTTTGTGGAGATTTCAGCAAGCCCATGGTCTCCTTTGCACACAGTGGAAGGAGACCCTGGCAGTCCCTGTGCGACTGTCACAGCAGCTGAGAGCTGGGATAACTCACAGCCCAGCACACCCATCCCCACAGAAAACAATATTGGAAATTAAAGGTCACAGAATTGATAGTAAGGCTTAAGAAAACAGCAATTAGTCTGCTAGGAAGAAAAGCTAAATTGCCAGTAGTAGGAGTAGAGCGGAGGGAAAAAAGAGTATTATTGATCTAAATATCAAGTTGGCAGATATGCAGAGTACAATCTAGAAGTTTTTTACACCTCTGGGCTCATTCAACCCACACAATAAAAAATGCAGGCCTATAAAGGTGGAATAAGAAGCAATCAATTAGGATGGCATTTGCTTGTTTCCGTGCTGCTGTTGGGCAGGTACATCACAATTAATGATTTATTAGGAGATTTTTCTCCTTCCCCTGCCCCCCCTTCCATTTTACACACATTGCTGCGACCAGACCACAGTTGTTTATTAATTTTCGTGCTTTTCAAGAATCTTTGTTAGCAGAAAAGGTAAACCCTAGCCTGGGATGCCAGCATGGGGTTGTGTGGATGCCCTGGAGCATGAGGAGCTGTGGTTTTATTCAGCCAGTGGAGCCCCCTGAGTGCTGGGATCCCTGGCTGCACATCACCTTGTCTCATACTGGGACAGCCTGGCAGCAGGAACTGGGGAGGGATGGGACTCCCCACCACCACATGCACTCACTCTCATTTCAGTTCCTCCCAGCCTAAGGGACCTAGAGAGAAGATTCAGCCCTTTGGAGCAGTCACATCTGTCAGGGGAGGGGCTCAGAGTCTAATAAGAGGACTGAGATGGCCTTATTCTTCTGTTAATCCATAGCTATAGGTCCTGAAACATTGTTTGTCCAGGCAATTCAGCCTTCATAAACCACTGCTGCCTGGAACAAATGTTGTGCCATCATTAGCCAATCTTGGAGGCAACAGAAAGATCTTTCCTGCAGACATGCATCTGAACAAGTCTTTGCCTTCACAGCTTTTTAGCAAAACCAGCCAGGGAAAGAAGTAAAAACATTGGAAAAAAATGAATTCCCTTTAGAAGGAAGCCTGAAAAATTATCTTTGTGTTCACCTGTCTCAATCCCACACCTCCCTAGGAGTGGCTGCAGCAGCTAATTGGTTTTACTCAGCTGTGCATGGCTTCACTGCCCAGACTCCAGATTTATTGCACAAAGTCAAGTCATGGTGTGAATTCATCATTTGTCCTCCACATCAATCCCTTTCTCCTCTGGAATGATATTTGTCTGCGTGTTTATGTGCTGTCAGGTCCAAATGACACAAAAGACAAATTCTGAGATTAACCAATTTTAGTACCCACCCAAAAATCAGAATGAATTATTTCCTTTTCAGCAAGGCATAACTTCAGAGGGGCCAGCTCAAGAGGAGTGGGAGAAGGAGCTTTGCCAGCACAGGTCTTCATAGGAGGGGAAGAAAATAATACCCCACATAATTTAAAGGGAAATGCCAGTTTCAGAACGAATCCTTATCTGAGAAGGGAAGTGTGTAACAATCAGCCAGAGAAGTCCTTGTGAGTGGTCTTTAAATTTTTTCTGGAAATCAAGGACTTCGAATGCAACAATTGAAAGTGAAGCTAAATGAAATACAGGGGAATATGAGTAAATGCTACAGGTATAGGTCAAGCACTGCTTTATCAATCTTGTGTTTACTCCAGCAGCTCCTCTGTTGCCCATTGTTTTACCTTGTTTGAATAGATATGCTTCTCTTTATTTGAAAATCAATTGTAATCTTATGAAAGAGAACTTAGAGCAGAGGGAATGCTGGAAAGCAGCATAGTGAAAGATGTTCATTATACTGAATTACTCAAGGGTAGGGAGGGAATGACATTAAAGAAGTGTGGGTAGCTTTGAGCTGCCATCCTTCCTTTAGCAGGTGTAATTTAATGTCATTACTTAATTTTATTAAAGGTAAAGACAATTGTGGACAATACACATTACAGCATTTACCTATAATAATGATAGTGGGGGAGTGTGAGAGGGAGGAAAGGCAGACTCCAGTTTGAATTCCCAGTAGCTGCTGATCTGTAGCTGATGAAAATTACTCTTTTCTCCATGGCACATCTCTCCAAGATTTGCTTTTTACCCTGAATAGCTTTGGATGGCTCCTTTGATTCCAGTGAAGATGCTCTGTTCTCTTCAGAATAATACTTTGCTTTATAAGCACAGTAAGCAGTATCCACTGTCAATTCTGCTTAGGACTGATAATTTCCTAACTTCACCTAGCAGAGGTCAACAACAAGTGGATGAACTCCTGGATTGCCTAGGATGTGCTGAGCATTGTGCTATTCACCCCAGTAGAGAAGCTTTATAAGCCGCTGTGATCTTCCTCCGGGCTTTACATTGGCATGTGCTTGTGTATTTATAATTTTTAATACAACCTTGTGTTTTAAAATGTGTAAGCTCTAATACTGTGGGCTGAAAAGAGATGTTGTGATGGCTGCTAGAGGAGCTGCTGTGAAATCTGTTGTGTGGGGCTTTTCCATGTAACCCAAACTCATTGGCAACACCTGGGCTGTGACCTACTGAAGGTGTTCAGGGGTCGCACAGGACTGGCCCTCTTAAATGGGTTACATGCAGCTGATGGTTTGTTCTTGATGACTTCATTCTGTTTGGTTCTGCAGGGGATAAGCCTAGGATTGACAGATGAAATCTGTGGTCTTGGGTTGAAGATTTGAGATGGTTTCACGGAGTGTTTAACTCCTTTGGAATTACAGTATGATACCTTGTTGTCAGCAGTGCAGCCTAAAAGAGACTGGGGGCTCATCAGCTTGTCACTGCTGCCATGCCATACAACATTAATTTAATGTAATGGGCAATAACTAGTGTGGATTTAGGAAGAGATGATCCTGTTTAACTAATCTGCTTCAGTTCAGACAAGGTTGATAGTAGAGTGTACATATGACATAATCTAATGGATTTTTCAAGAGGCTTTTGATAAATTTCCATATATTTCCCTTGCTTAAGCTGTGTGCCGCAGAGACTCCAAATTGGGCAAGAGAATGGGTAAAGAACAAGTGAAATCAGGGGAAATAAAGAGAAAAGAAGATGTGTAGCATGTAGTGGAATAAGAATTATCCTGCAGCTTCCCACTGTTCTTCCCCACCACTCGGCATGGCTAGAAAGAGATGCCATCTGCATTCACTAATGAAAACTTGTTTAGGACAGGTGCATAGCAGAAAAGAGGGCAAGATGCCATTCAGGATACCACTAAGGGGCAAATTTAAATTTATATTAGCATAAGGCAGATTGAATATTTTCACTGTCAGCGGTGAAACAATATATACTGAATACAAGTATCCGTAACGGAGAGATGCCAAAGGATGGGGATGGGTTAGGAGGGGAAACGGACTCTTGTGCTAACGAAGGAATGATTTATTATCATTTACACAACCTGGCATTTGTGCACACCAAAGGCCAGATTTTAGAAGTGCTCTGCTCCTGCAGTTTGGGGCCAGAATTTCAGTTGCAGACTCCGAGCCAGCCGCTCCCGGCGTATCCCCAGTGTTTAATTTGCCATATGTCAATCAGAGTGTTGATTTGCAAGTGCTGCTAATAGGCAGTGCTGAGACATGAGGACAGTTGAAAATTTGGGAATGTGTCTTACTGGCAGCTTTTGAGCCCCAAACACTGGAAGTATTCACAGGCCAGGATCCCTGATCAGCCATGAGATAAATCAGGGACTGGAAAGCAGAAAAGAATGCAGTTAATGTCTCAGGATGTGCCTTAACGGGACATGCTCCATGGAAATCAGTGCTAAATGAGAAAATTAAGCACCAGGAGAGGCTGTGGCAAAATCACAAGAAACACTTCAAATAATGAGACAAAATCAGGGGCAAGAAAGAAATAAAATGAAGTAAAATCACTGAAAAAGCAATAAAATGCCATCACTGAAATCCGAGTGAAGCAAAATACCTTGAGATAAATGGAGATAGTCATCCTAAAAAATTCAGGCATTTCAGTATGCCATTTTCCCATGCTGTTGACAATTAACTCTCTAGTTGCTGTAATTGAGCAAGAATATCAAGAATTTTTTTTGTTGGAATCCTTGGAGCAATCTTGCTGAATCTTCTGCAGTGGCTGTGCAATAGCAGGTTTGTTCTCCTTTGGGCTGAGAGGTGAAGTTAGGCTTTGGGGAAATACTCAAAGGAAAAAAATAGGAGAAGTCTTGTCTTTTCCTCATAATAAACCTGAGGACCAAGCTGTGGATCTGCCTCGAGATGTGATTTCAGATATCAAGGAAGCAGCTCAGAAAGCTGTTCTGTAAATCCAACCTACTGGAATCCCAGAGGGCATTTATACAGAAGTAAAGCAGGGAATATATGAGCCATTCGCCTCTTTCACAGATCACCTTACTCAAGCAGTAGAAAGGCAGTGTTCTCTTGGGGGTCAGTGCTTGTCAGCACAGAAAGTCTAAAATTCTCAGTAACCAGGGTTTCAACAGAAAAGCAGAATGGAAAAAGAAATGTGTTGCTCATTACAAATAACGCCATGGTCCCCTTCACAGGACTGGCTTCCCAGTGGGCATGGTGATGGAGGGGAGAGGGTAGGGGAGGTGTGAGGATGGACAGAAAGCTCCCAGCATGACCACCCTTGTCTTTCCTTTGCAGTATTCAGGGGAAGTGCCTGAGAACAGAGTGGAGGTTGTGGTGGCAAACCTGACGGTGATGGACCGGGACCAGCCCCACTCTCCCAACTGGAACGCCATCTACCGCATCATCAGCGGGGACCCCTCGGGCCACTTCACCATCCGGACAGACCCCGTCACCAACGAGGGCATGGTCACCGTGGTAAAGGTGAGGGAGGGTCGGGGTTCTGAGGTTGGGATGACCCTGAGGTAGTAGAAAGTCTTTTTTTCTCCCAGCCCCGCGACCGAAGAAGAAGTTGAGATTGGTTGGTTCTGCTTTTCAAGGTTGTTTATTTTTCCTTATCTGTAACATTTTTTCCCTGACCAGCTGAGATCTGTCCAGCAGGTCGGGTTGTGGCACACTACCTGCCCTTGGGGTGGTGTTAACTTTTTATACTAAGAACTACGTGTACTTTATTTACAGTAATTTTCCAGTATCTATCACCTATGTTAGACAGTCTGTCTCTACTCAAAACCAATCCAAAAGTGCCACCATCAGAGCAGAAGATGGAGGACAAGAAGAAGGAGAAGAAAGGACAGGACATGCCCAGACTCCTCCGTCTTGCCCCTTGAATCACCATTCTAAAACCCAAAAATTCTCCTTTTTCACCCTGTGACAAATTAACTATCCTTCTGCTCAAACTCTTGTGACTTGTAAATCGTCACACAAAGTGGGTAATTTTTTCCATGAGCTAAAATCAAAGGCACAGGGGTTTTTGACTTCATGCCAAGGTCTCTGAGCCCCTTGCCAGGGTCTCGAGTCATCCAGGACAGTCAGAGGAATGTCCTGGGTTCCAGTGAAGAGGAAGCCAAAGCACGCTTGTTTGTCACCTTTACAGCTGCAGGGATTGCCAGGAGCCTGCAGTTGTTCCGTGCCTTCCCTGCCTGGAAATATGAGTGTTTGGATCTGTTGTTCCCATCTCTCTGTGTGTAGGAGTCCTGAATACTCTCCAGCATGTGGCACTGGTTCTGGGTTTCCCAGCTCAGCCCAGCCCACCATGAGCTTTCGAAGAGTCTCACATGCTGAAGGGATTCCCAGCACCAGAGCCTGGCCTCCACCTCCTGCTTCTCCTTGGCTCTTTGAGCTCTGCAAGAGGGAAAGAGCCTGGACTGGGCAGCCCTGCCCTTCTTGAGCCAGAAAAGCCCCTGCTTGCTGTGAATCAAGGCACTGTTCCACTGCCTGGGTCAGTCAAGTGATCCTCTATGAAAGCAGGGTGTGTAGGAGAGATCTCAGGAGGAGTGAATTTTCTGGTAACAAAAGGGAAGAAAATTTCTCCAACATTTTTGCTGCTGAACTGAGTTGTTTGGCAGCAAAACTGTTGGAGAGATTTTCCTTTTCCTGGTATTAAGTGATAAACACACAGTGTGGGACAGCTCCACTCAAAGCCACCCCCCAGGCTGGATCATCAGAAGATCTTGTCTAAAGACTCCCAAGAAATCAAACCAGAAATATCCACCATCCCTTCTTCTCTCCATGTGCTGGTAGAGCTAGAAGCCTCAAAATACCTGCAGCAAGTGCCAAATTGTGTTTCCTTCCTTGTCTCCATGTTTCCAAAGAACGTGACTCTTACCTTCATTGGAGCATTCGCTTCTCTTTCAGTTGTGAGGCCAGTGAGTGTTTCTGCAGTCATTACACACAGCCAGGACATCTCTGGATCCCTTCAGCATTCACTGAAGCTCTTCCCAGATAAGATGCCGGATGCTCCCTCTGACTACAAAAAACAGCAAAGACATCTCACATAGGCTGTTGAGATGTGCAGGAGCTGCACAGCCCACACTGCACTGCACATGGGAAGGGTTAATACCTGCTGGGGTGGATAAAGGCAGCACCCTCTGATAAGTCTGGCCTTCCCTGACAAAAAGTTTTAATTAACAACATAGGTAGAAATACTAAGTTTAATGAGCAGCATGATTCAAGGATAGCTGTGTTGAGCCTTGCTTCCTTGTTATTAGCTAAACAAGTTGCAATCATTCCTAATGTGCACAGTTTGTGTCTTAGGAGAAATGGTATCAGTGAGATGCCAGTGAGGTCACGCTGGCAGGAACGTGTGAGCCTGTCCTGTTCCCTGAGCCCTGGGCTATGTGTGTGTGTCTGCAGATGCTGCTCTGCTGAAACTTCAAGGGACACATCATCCTACCTGCCAGATGGTATTTCAGCAGGGTTCTCTTATTTATCACTTTTTATTGCTCTGTGATGATGGTTGACAGCCTTACTATGAAACCTCTTCAAGCTTAGACACATGTATATGTTGCATATATGTGTGTAAGCATACACATATCCAAATCTGTATATTTTCTGCTTAAACAGAAAACATTGATCGAAAAAAAGTGCAAAAATTTAACTTCCACTGACATCAGCAGCCAGTCTGAAATCGAAATGCCAACATTTTCACTGCAAGTAGGGGAGGACCCCTTACTCTTAATCTTGCAAAGTGTCAGGACTGTAGTTTAAAGGCACATCAAAGTGAACAACAGGGGATTTGCATGATCAACACTGCTGCACAAGGACTTGTGCATAATGAACCATCCCTTATTCACAACTTGCAGGCAAAAAGCAGGGCAGATTTGTCAAGACACCATTGATGCTGGTGTTGATTTTCCACTGCTGTGTAACCCACAGTGATCACAAAGCAGAGAACCACATGAAAATCCCATCTCATCAAGCTGAGCTCAGAGCTTGAAATTACATTGGATGTCTTCACTACATCACATCACCTGATCCTCCTGGGCACCAGGGTTCCCTACCCCTATCTGGCTGGGAGGCTTTTTGGTGTATTTTCAGCAAGGAGAATGAGTGAAATTGCTTGTGATTAAATTTTCATGGTGAAGAAGGGAAGACTCTTAGGATTCCACCTTCTTTGAAATATTTTGTTCTCTGTTAATAAGTGAATATGCTTAAAGATTTGGGGGATGTATTCTCATCAGACTGGGTGGCCAGTCAGAGCTTGTTCTTTGCTGTGTGTTGGAGCGGTCTCTTTCTGGTTTGATCACTGATGTGGGTTGAAAACACAGGTAAAAAATTAAAGTCAGGTAATGAACCATTTATTTACAGACCCTACATGGCTGGATTTTCACGTGGCTCTTCAAAGCCACTCATAGATAACTCCTGCCACAAGCAAAGGAGTGACAGCAACAGCACACGGAGAGGGACTCTGTGCAGAATCCCACCACTTCACCAGCATTTCAGGGGCCTGAAATGGAGGGCCAGAAATCCTTCCAAGCCAGATTTCCCTTTGGAGTTCAGATTATGCTCATGGGGGCCATTTTGAAGCTGCCCTCAGCAAAACCCTATCTGTATCTCCAGTGTGATCACCAAAAGTGTAACACTTCCCTTTTCTGCTCTTGCCTTTCCAAACCATTTCCAAAACTGTGCAAGAGCCTAATCTTCAAAGAAAGCCTTGATCAAGGGCAGAGAGAAGCTTCCCACTCAGATGAGGCACCACAGAGACTGAAGACAATCTCCCAGAGCAGCAGTGGCTGCCCTGTGGCAGCCAGCTAAGTAAAATGTTATTATAAACTCTGCATGGATCAGAGCTGTGAATTTATAATGGAGATGCTGCTGAAGCTTCAGTTATTATTTGCCTCAACTGTAAAACCAGGCAAATTTGTTCACTTCAGCTAAAAGTACCCCAAGAAAAGGAGGACAAGTGGCAAGCCCTCAGCATTGCTCTGCTGCACCCAGGTTGGAGGTGCTGGTGAAGGAGGAGGATGTGCAGCATCTCCAGGGAATGTTTCACAGCCAGATCACGCACCAAACGTCCAGCAAGGAGTACCTGCAAAAGTGCTGCTTTTTAATTTCATGTCAAGTGCTTCTTGGACATGAAAGTGGAAAGTAGGCAAGAGTCCCATGTGTCCTTGTCCCAAATGTAGCAGCTCTGTGGGCTTTTTCAGGATCCTGCTGTCATAGAATCAAAGAATCATTTTGATTAGAAAATACTTCTAGGATCATCAAGTCCAGCTGTTAACCTAGCAATGCCAAGTCCACCGTGTCCCTAAAACCATGTCAGATGACCAGTGGACAGCATTTCCAGTGAGGTGCACGGAGGTGGAAGGGGTGAGTGTGGTGTGAGGAACACTGAGTGCTCTGTGCACCATTATCCTCAGAGGGAAGCAGTTTTAGGGAGCAGAGGTGTGAACAGTTCTGGTATAAATTGCTTATTAAGGAGTGAAAGAAGTTCTGCCTTAGGGCTGGACAGTGTCAGGCTGCAAGGGGCTCCCATGGGGTTCAATAGCCCAAACTGCCAGGACAGCACAGACTCTTGATTTTACCTTCCTTTTTTTTTCTTCTTTACAAAACTGTGTGAAATAGGACTCAGTGGACACACAAGAGATGAGCATATAAGCTCTGTCTTGCAGACTGAAGTGTGGTGGACACTATTTGGTGACACTGATGCCTCCTAGACAGCCTTTGGGGTGCCTGATCCTGGTCCAGCTCTGCTCCTTGCACGATTTTTCTGCAGCCCAGGTTTTGTGGCTTCCAGAAGAAAGAGGAAGAAGCTGAGAGGGAAGCCCTACATTTTTTTGGTGGAGAAAACCCCAGTACTTTACATCAGGCCACATCCTAGCAGAGCTGTGTGTCCTGAGCATCAGCAGCAGGGAGTTGCCCACATCATTCCCCGTGGAGCTGCTCAGCCCCCAGCTGCCTCTGAGCCCCCTTGGGTGCAGAGTGGCTGTGGACAGCCTAGCAAACAGAGCAGCATGAAAAAAAAAAAAAAAAAAAGAAAAAAAAAAAAGAAAACTGCAGGAATATAAATTAGAGGGGATGTGAAAAGAAATTGAGGAAATGCATTAGTCAAATTGTTTCAAGGCCTTGAATAGTGTTTAAATGGGAACTTTTACCATGCATTGGTTTTGAATGCAGCACAAGTCCGTGAGTCAGCACGGGTGGGTGTACTGGGAATCTTTATGCTTCCTTTTATTTATTAAATGTTGGCCCTGCCTGTCAGGAAGCCATTTAGCATCGGGAACATTTGCACTTCAATCGAGTAGAGATTCCGCTGTTTTACCTTTTGCCCCTGAAATTTGTTTCTCTCGTGTAGGCTCCTATGATTTGATTTCCCTCCTGACAATACTGGGTTTTAAACAGGACATGGCAGGCAGCTCCTGCTGCTGTAAATCCCCGTCCAAGTCGGTGTAGCTGTGGCGTTTTACACCCTGAGTGCTTTGCAGACTCAGCGCTGGAGAAGGTATTAGGGAGGATGGATATGCTTCTAAATTTATAAATCACGGCAAAGCAGTTTTTAACAAGCAGAGGTGTGATCCTGCATAACTCAAGCCTCCCTGGAAGATGATTAGCGACTTCCCTCATAATAATTAGTGGGATGGTTTAGAAATTATTATTATACTGGGCTCAGTCAGTCGTGCCAGCAAAGGCTTTTCACTCCATCTGGCTCCTGGGACAGAAACATTGTCTTCATGTGTGTGTTGAGAAGAGATCTGTGGCCTCCCAGCAGCAAAACCCAGCTGTAAGAGCTGTGGGCAACCTCCAGAGACCACGAGGTGCCTTGCAGGAGGATGAGAGGTCCCACTGGAAGGACGACCTGCTTAGCCTGACCAGGGATTGTTCCTGGCAGCTCCACCTTTGCTTATAAACTCATTTAAGAGGGAAAATAAAGAGCCCTTCAGGCTCATGGGTCCACAGAGACTGTCCTGGTTCCACAGTCAGCAGTTTCAGTGCTAATAGCACTGCTAAGTGTCAGTCCCAGCCCTCTGAACAGTCTCCACCTGTTGCATTAGAGCAGCCCTGGGTGGGTTTGTTCGTTTGATGCTCAATTCTCACAGGCAAGTTGTCTTTTGGAAACCACTTAGCATTGGAACAAAACACAGAGCAAATGCTCCCTGCTGTTTGCAGTTTTTCCTTTGTGGAATTTTTTTAACTACTTGACCCTCCAAAAACTGGAAGGCCAAATCCTCCACTGGATTGAAGTTCCTCTGGATTTACACTTTCAAAAGAACTGAGCTCAGGAGGAAGCAGGATGAGGCAATGACTTTGATATCATCTGCCTTCTAGTCTTGCAGCTTCCAGCCAGAAGGTAGAATTTATTCTCTGCTTGGTTCTCTACTTGCTTGTTTGCTTGTTTTAGGCAGTTGATTACGAGATGAACAGAGCTTTCATGCTGACAGTGATGGTGTCAAACCAAGCTCCTCTGGCCAGTGGCATCCAGATGTCCTTCCAGTCGACAGCAGGAGTCACCATTTCAGTCACAGATGTCAACGAAGCTCCGTATTTCCCAACCAACCACAAGCTGATCAGGCTGGAGGAGGGGGTGCCAACAGGGACGGTGCTGACCACGTTTTCGGCGGTGGATCCCGATCGCTTCATGCAGCAGGCAGTAAGGTGGGACACCAGGCAGCCTGGGGGCTCCCCTGCAGCTGGGGGGGGTTCAGCTGCATGAATCTGGGGAGCCAGGCAGCTGAAAGCTGATTTCCAAACTGGCTGGTGGGACGTGAGTGAGATCGTGGCAGGGAGTGGCGCCTGCAGTCGAGCGCTTGCACGGTGTCCTGTGAGTCTGTAAATTCACAGCCCCTGCTCCAGGTAAGGCAGGCTCTGAGCAGCTGGGTCAAGGAGAGCAGACACAGCTGGGTCCTGTGTTACTGGCTTGCCGTGGGGCAGAGCACACCTTGAAGTGAAGCAGATTTCTGTGCTGTTACAGAGGTCAGGGCTGCTTCGTACCCAGTCTTTGGCTGTGCCTCACCCAGGGTGCTCTGACCTGTGTGGTTCATGCACTTCATAAACACAGGGGTTTAGAAAAAGGCATCTTTGTTATTTTTGTTTTAAGGGGGGGAACTGAGGCATAGAAAGGGCTAGGCCTGGGTTTTCAAAGGGAATGGCTGGGATTTTTAATCATGCCTTCCAGAACATTTAGGTTCAACCTTGCTTAAAAGCACAGTGCAAGAGGAGCTGTCTAGTTCGCAGCGAGGCTGGTGGGGTTACAAACAGCTGCTGGGCAGGCTTTTAAAGTGTCAAATTGTTCAGTGTTGCCTGAGCAGTCAAACACCCATTCACAGGCCATTGGCACTTGGTCTGTATCTCACCAGTGCTCCCCTTGCCTGCTCCCAGTAGGTGCAATTTGTTCCAACCTTCCCTTTCTGTTCAGAGCACCTGCCTAACATAACCTCCCTTAGCTGCTTTCCCTATGAATGGGATTCAGCTGGCAAAATTTTAACCTTGTAAAAGTCAAATTTCTACCCAAGTAGCTTAAGATCACTTTTAATTCGTGCTGTGACCAGGAGGGTGTCACTCACTCTGTTTTGTCCCTCCCGGGCAGAGCAAGGATTGAATCCAGGGTCCAGGACCCCAGCTCACACACCTTCCCAGCAGGAAATAATTGGCAGAAAAGTGTAGGTGAGGATGAGTCCTTGTGACACTTTCACAACTATTTCAGCTCCGTCTGTGCAGACAGAAAATGCATTTCCTGCTCTTGGATACTTTCACATCTACAGAAATTGTTTTCTTTTTTGCTCCCAGTCTGTAAGAGCTGTGGTATTTTTGGCAAAACCTGAGTATACAACATGACCATGGCTGAGGCCACTTAAACTTGGATCAGTTGTGACATTTTGTGTCAGGAAGAGTTTGAAATATTTCACCTGGCACAGAGCTGTCGGGTCTAGAAAATGGTAGTTTATTCACTGCCTCATCTTGTTGTCTTTAGACAGGGACTGTGACTTTGGAGGAAAGAGACCATCCTAACTAACAAGCCCATTTTTCTTATGTTCTTTTTGAAATATTGGCCTTCGAAGGGTCTTTATTTCCCTGATGTCTGTACCAAGGCTGGTTTTCAGAGGAGAGAACAACTCATTTGTGATTGAGTACTCCCTCTAACCTGGAGGGGGGTGATCTGTAATCCAAACGAGCTCCTGCTGTTCCTGTCATTGCACAGGGCATGCGTAGGGTCTGCTAAGGTTTCCTTAGCAGAAAGGAAAGCCAGTTACTTGAGTTGTTTCTTTCTAGGGCTTCCAGGACATGCATTTTGTGCATCCACCAGCACCTCATTTCCAAACCTCAGTACAATCTCTCTCCCTTTGCATCAGGACAGCCAATGCCCAGGCTCTGCAAGAAGCAGTGGGGTGGTTTTGGGGTCCTGTCTTTGTGAGATGTAAAAAAGATATTTCATTTTTACTTCACAGTTGGCATTGGTGAGTTAGGAAAAAAGATACCCAAAAGGCTAAACCTACAGATCCGTGATAAGCACTTTGCAGAGCTGATCCAGCTGCTAGAGCCTTGCATACAGATTTCAGTCTCTAAATTGTCTTTGATGAAACAGAGTTTTTACAAATAGAAGATGAGGAAGCAGGAGCATCTCCAGTAATGCACAGCTTGGCATGGGCAGTGTCACACCTCAGGTTATCCTCATTAGCCACAGACACATTCACAAAGCCAGCTTTGAAACTGGATCCCTGGTCATTTAGCAGAGAAAAGGGCAGGAGCCTCACAGCAGTGATATTGAAATGAAAGCATCCCAAAGAGTCTAGCTCCATGAAATGTAATTCTTTCCTTTGGCAGGAGTTTGTGCAGCTGTGTGTTGCTTTTCTCTTCACATGGATTGACTCAGCTCAAGTTTCCCTTTGAGTTTCTGCTTCAAACAGCCCAGTTCTGGAAAGGGATATTCAGCAGAAGCCAGTAATGCTCTCACCTGCATATCTAATGACAAATTATATAAAACTATCAGCAGGTCTGAGTTACCCATGAAATAAGCTCAGCTTCTGTTTGCTTATTTCAGTAATTTATAGTCTGGCCATTTATTAGCTTCCAGTTGGATGGTTATGGTCCATCTCACTTCAAACAGTACAAAACTGGTAAACAGAAAAGCAAGAAAACAAGCAAGTAAGAAGGATGAACTGAACACACTGATCTGGAGAACACAGGAAAAGCTTGCCCAAAAAAACCCCCATGTTCTCAGCTGGTTGCATGGGACATGAACAGAAAACAGCTGTGAGTTGACTGAGTAATTGGGAGGTAATTCTGACAGTGTGGTATTCCCAAACTGTTGTTTATTAGTGGTGGGCAGAAAACAGGAATATCTTTGACTTCAAAAACAAGTTTTCAGAAGAACAAGGTCAGGAGCAGGAGGGAGCAGGAATCCATCCTCCAGTTCAGGAATATGAATGCTATGGTCACTGCAGACCCCATTAATGCTCAGCTGCAGAGACCTCAGGAAATGCCCTCTCCTAGCAGCAGGAAACTGGCATGTAAGTGGCATTTAGTGGAAAGAAGAACCTTTAAAACTAAAATAATTGAAAAATTGAATAATTGTAAAGGTCAAAAACCGGATACTCAATTAGCATTGTGTTTGTCAACAAAACCAGTTATCCAAAGGTCCTTTGAATCACAGGTCAGGAGTCCAGACAAAAAAAAAAAAAAGTATTTCAAGCAATATTAAGGATATGTCAGTGAAAAGACTGCCATGTATTTATTTCCTTTCTCTGTAGATACTCTAAGCTGTCAGATCCTGCAAACTGGCTGAACATTAATGCCACAAATGGTCAGATCACTACTGCTGCTGTCCTTGATCGAGAGTCAGACTACATTAAGAATAATGTCTACGAGGCCACATTCTTGGCGGCTGACAACGGTGAGCCCAGGCTTCACATTGTTCATGCTTCAATAAGACTCTAATGTGATGCATTAAGAGAAATGATGCCCTGACAGAGTTGTCAGTATAAGTTATCTTTTTCCCAGGTTTTTATGGTCAAAAATGTGAAAGTGGGACGGGAAATTGCTGGAGTAAATTAAATGTGCACAGTATACGGGGAGTGTTATTAAGGGAAAGGGAGGACAAATGGAAAATTGATTTGGGGAGTTCAGTGCGGCGGCGTAGCCTGAACTTAAAAAAGTGTCAAAGGGGTGTGCTCTCCTGGGGCTGCTGAGCACACAGGTCCTGGTAATCCTCCCAAAGGCACTGATCAGAACATTCAGGAAGCCTTCCATCAGGAAACCAGAAATAATTTTATGGGATTGCAGGAGGATATTAAAAATAAGCCCATCTGTTGAACGGTGGTGGTTTTCATAAAAGGTGTGTCTGTCACTGGAGCTGGGCTCTTCCTGGCCACTGCCTGCCTGAAACGTGCAGCCATCATCAGATCATTTGGGTGCTGCTGTGCTTATTTCCAAAGCCACTTAGGCCAGTCAGAGCTCCTGGAGAAGTCCTGTTTGTTCTTCTCATTGAAGATCGCTCAGTGCTTTTGGTCCAGTCAGCGCTGAGAACTGTGCTGGCCTCACTCAAGGGCTGGCCCAGTGCTGCTGCTCTGCTTTTCTCTTCCTAATCCCACTTAGGGTGAACTGACAAATTTTGTTAACCACACCCAAATGTGGCCATGCTGGTATTTCATTCCTCAGTTCCTCCTGGAAGAGGTTCAGGAGTTTCCCAGGACAAGGAGAAGGCCTTCCTCCCCCTCACCCACCCTCATTTCCTGCTGCAGGGTGCTGAGCACTCTAACCAAAGCCCTGCTTCAGCAGCACAATTCAGTCTGGGCTTGGCTGTGAGCACCTCAATATATTGCTCATACTCTGCAGGCGCTTTCAGGGCAGGGTTGGTGTGATCCCTCAGGCTGGAGATGCCGTGGTCATTATGAGCAGATCTGGTGGTGGTTGCAGGGCTAATAAAAACTTCCTCCCTCTGGGGTTCCAGAGGGAACTCCAGGCATCACTTCAATCATTGCATCCCCAGCACCAGGTCACAGGGGTGAGGGAAATTCATGGAAGAGTTTCAGTGCTGAGGAGCTGTATCAAGAAGTGCATTTTGCCCCTTCTTTGTGCCATGAATTGTAGGACTCACCTCACAATCCTGTCCTGAGCTTCCCATCCATGAAGGCAACCAGGACAGGGAAATTCAAAATATTCTCAAATGGGTTTAGTGGTGTTCATCTGTAAAAGCCATAGGGCAAAACAGGTCAAATGAGTAGGCCAAGGCTGTTCACAGATGTAGTGGTAGAGTTTGAACCTATCAACCTAATCCTCACCATCTGACCTTGCAAATTCCAGGCACTTGGTGCAACATGATGTGGAGTTAGCCCCTTTCCCTGGCTGTGGTGCTGATGCAGCAGTGCATCAGCACCTCCACATCCATCATTCAGCAGCTCAGAAAGTGAGGGCCTAGACAAATCTCTTTATTCTGAAAAATTAATCTATCACTGGTATATTGCAGCCATTAAAATGCACATAAAGCAACACCTTATTTAAAATTCTGTCTAGAGTGCTTAGGATAACAGCTAAAGTTTCATCTAGGCTAATAGACTCTTACCACGTTGCTCCCAAGTTCCAGGTTCTCCAGCATCAAAGAAAAGCTTTGGGTCAAGGGTTTTGCTGGGGATTTTTCTGTCTTTCTTGAAGAAGCAACAGCATCTTCTTTCCTTGAAGTTCTTTTTGCTGTTCTCAGTACATGATAAAGAAGTTTAGCCAATACTCCTTGGACATGCTCTTTTTCTCTCTCTGGGCTCCAGTGTAGAGATAGTGTGTTTAAGAAAAGTCTTGGCTGCAGTGTAAGGAGGGCAGAAAGGGAATCCTAATCAACAGCATGGTTTTAACCTGGTTTCTGAGGAGAGAGTCCTTTGGATCACACTGATCACAAGAGTGGAGCCTGGCAGTGTTTGAACCCCTCAGCCAATTTCAGCCAATCTCCCAGGGAAGCTGAGAACTTAAATGTGTCATATTCCAGCAGGTTTCATGAAGCAAAGATCTGAGCATGAAAACCTTGGCTTATACCTTGCTGTGGGAATGCAGACACTGGCCCTGTGAAAAAGGCACTGATGGAGACTTCAACATTTAAATGTAGATGCAGAAGTTGTATTGTCTTCTTCCTCTTGGCATTAGTATTCCAGTCTTAATTCCAGGGATCAGACCAGCTTCTCCACTGGAGTCAGTGATGCTATTTTAGTCCTCATCTCCTGAGGATAAAGTCCAAGGATCTTTCATTGCACATCAGTACCTGCTCTGTGTCCTTGCTCTCTCCATATAAGACAGCTGAAATAATGTGAAATGTTCCATATGTTGGTAGGACTTGGCCACTAAAAGAATTGTTTACTTTTCATTTCTCCTAAAACTGCCCCAGAACTGCCCCCAGAAACACAAAAGAAACAAAAATACCAGGACTCAGACCCCAGCGATACTCAATGGCCCAACCAAAGTGCATTTGTATGTGCAGCAATTGCAGGTTATTTCAGCCACATGCCATTTAGTGCCTCTCAGGACTGAGGGTTTGTGTTCAGTCTGTCTCAAAGGTTACAGTGCTTTTATCCCAGAAGATCCTCTGGGTAATGTGAAAGCAGTAAAATCACTTTGCTTGGTCCCAAAAGTCAGTTTCCATGTCCAGCCCCAGTATCCTGGTGGGCTGTCTGCCTCTCCAGAAGGTTTCAAGGCTGATCAAAAGACATTGTTTTAGAGGGAGACCTATGCCGTGCTTACAAGATGAGAGGATGAGAGTCCATTGAAGAGCTTATGTGGGAGCCATGAAAAAAGGATTTCCAGGGCTCCTTCAGAATTTTTGAGGCTCCCTTGAGACACGGAGAAAAGAATATGGGAAGGAAGGTCTGTGGAAGCAGAAGCCTGATGGGGAAGTGGTTTGTGTAGCTTTGTATCTAGCCCTGGGAGGAAGGGCCAGGACTGAAAATGCAAACTTTAAAAAGAACGGCTGAAGCCATGCAGGCAGAGGGCAGGCCAACACGGAGCTGCCAGATAAATGTGTGGGGAGAGAAATGAAAAACACTGTGCCATTTTTGGGAAGGCTGTTCTCTCCTGCCAGAGCAGATACTACTTTGTGTGAGTAGTCATTAGTCTGACAAATGTGGTTCTCCATCAAGAAAGGGTGGAGGGCCAGGACTGCTGTGCTGTGACATCCCTGCTGGTTGGGACAGACGTGGAGAGGGTGGGGAATTGTGTGTTGGGACATAGCCCTGCTGCTGGGGGTTAGTGGCATCACCCAGCAGGTCTAGTGGGCTTTGAGCAAGGACCTCTCAGTTAGTGGCATCACCCAGCAGGTCTAGTGATGGCTCACACTGTGGGCTTCAAGCAGGGACCTCTCACCACTAAAGCTGGGGCTGGATGTGGGACATGCTGGGGAGCTGGGCTTTCCTAGAAGCAGAGTAATGATCTGCAAAGCTGAAAACTGGTCAGCAAGTTCTACTGTAAATGCTGACCAATGGGTTACACTATGTAGGTTTTTCTCCCCTCCAAGCCCTCTTCTTCCCCTTGTCAGCTCTCTTTCTAATGGTTTTTCTTCTTCAAAACAGCCATTACCAAGATTTGCAGGAGCAGCTTGGCATCACCTGCTTGCAGTTTTAGTTTGACTGGGGGCATTGCTGCAGGCTACAGATCTGCAGAACTCAACCTCCTGTTCTGCAGGAGTGAAAAACAGCAACATCAGGAGGCTTGGGGAAGTTTTATACCACGTAAAGCAAGGGACCATGAAAGTGCAGTATGTCCCTAATAAGGTCCAGGGAGGGGAGGTGGAAATCCTGGTTTATTGGAATTGTAAGGCAGAGAGGGGGCTGGTCCTTGGTGTTTCCAGTCCTGCTGCTCCCCAGGTGGTGCTCACGGGCCGGTGTTTCCCATGCAGGAATTCCCCCTGCCAGCGGCACCGGCACTCTGCAGATCTACCTGATCGACATCAACGACAACGCTCCCGAGCTGCTGCCCAAGGAGGCGCAGATCTGTGAGAAGCCAAACCTCAACGTCATCAACATCACGGCCGCGGACGCCGACATCGACCCGAACGTGGGGCCCTTCGTCTTCGAGCTGCCAAGTGTGCCATCTGCAGTGAGGAAGAACTGGACCATCACACGGCTCAATGGTAAATGGGGCAGGCAATGCTGAGCACATCTGGGCTCTGGTTCGCTGATGAGCCCCACGTGAGGCTTCCAACTCCAAAACTTTCCCACTTTTTTTAATCCGATTTTTATTTTTTAAAGCACATTACGGCTGACATTATAGACAAGATAGTTAATCAGAAATGATTTGTATCAGACCTGCAGCATAACTCTAAGAGCCTTGGCACTTGGCTTTTTTTAATGCAGTTCATAATTATGAACAGTTATCAGTAGTGAACAGAGTATAAATCATCCATAATGGCCAAGGGGAAAAAAGCTATTATCAGTCTTCCTTATGTTCCTCCAGTGTAATTGTCATAAGCCACAATCAGGATCAATGTTCATTTCTCTGACCATAATTGCATAAAGGCAGCCTTTTAATTTACCATGGAACCAGGAGGGCTAGGTAAGTGTGAAGATTACCAGTATGTGAAGGATTTTTATATTGCAGCGTGCAACCACAAATGGCCCTAATTGCTCTGCTTATTGGCAGTTTCAGCAGAGGATGGAAAATATCATGGAGTTGTGGGCTGGTTTTGGCTTCAGTGCTGGTCCCTCTCGCTGAGGTCTGGCAGAGGGTGCTAGACGAGGGCAACAGCTCCTGCCCTCACAGCTCAGGGCTCAGTCACAAGGGGATTACCTGGCTGTGCCTGTCATCACTGAGTTCCCAAAATCCTCAGGGGGAAGGGTGAGTGAGTGCAGAACCTATACAAGTGGCCAGGGGCAGCCCAGCCTCAGGAAGCATTATCCATGTGTTCCTATTTGTGTTTGATGCCGTTTTGAACACATGCAAGTGGATTTGCAAATGGCATCCAGGTAGATGAGTGCAGCAGTGAGAGCACACAGTCCTTGGCAAAGCACAGGCTGCTTGTTGGCCAGACTGCTGGGGGCAGAGGTCTGAAGCTGTCCTGCCCAGGTGTGCTGTTGCTAACCTCTTCTGCAGGGCTCAGAAGAAGGCTCTAGCAGAGAAGCCTGCCCAAGTGTGGCTGCAAGGCTGTACCAGTGTCTGTCATCTGTCTGTCTGTCTGTCTTGGTCTCCAGGGGACTATGCCCAGCTCAGTTTGCGGATCATGTACCTGGAAGCGGGAGTGTACGATGTGCCCATCATCGTGACAGACTCAGGAAACCCCCCCTTGTACAACACCTCTGTCATCAAGGTGAAGGTGTGCCCGTGTGACGAGAACGGCGACTGCACCACCATCGGGGCCGTGGCTGCCGCGGGGCTGGGCACGGGGGCCATCATTGCCATCCTGATCTGCATCATCATCTTACTGAGTGAGTACCACAGGGCCTGGCCTAAAACCTCACACTGCTTTGGGTTGGAAGGGACCTTAAAGTTCATCTTGTTCCAACCCTGATGTCGCAGACAGGGACACCTTCCTCTATGCCACGTTGCTCCAAGCCCTGTCCAACCTGGCCGTGGACACTTCCAGGGATGGGACAGCCACAGCTTCTCTGGGCAACCTGTGCCATACCCTCACAGTAAAGAATTACTTCCCAAAATCTGCTCTAAATCTACCCTCCTTCATGTTTCCCTGTTGTTCTTTCCTATAGTTTGTATTTTTCAAGCTCCGTGCAGAGGGCAGGTCCCTGAGCTTGGGCTGTGGAAGTGGTTCACACATCTGCATTCAAACCTCCTTCACTGCAGCATCAGCAAAATGAGCTCTGCCTGTGTCAGACCTGTCTTTCTAAGACTTCCAGTAGGTTTACAAACATTATTACACCTGACAACAGCTTGTAAGTAGTGAGTGTGATAGGATTGTCCATATTTTGCAGGAAAATGTTGAAAGCTCCTTCCAAATTTCTCTGTCAGATTCTCCCACAGCTCTCATGTCTGGCTGGCTGTGGATATACTGGTTCCCAGTACCAGATACACTGGTTATGAGAACCAGGCTAGGCCCTTGCAGAGCCAGTGCATAACTGTGTTTTTCTGATTGTTCCAAGGAAAAGAAGAATGCTAGCTATTCCCATTGCTTTTAAAATTACTTCATATTGGGGGGATTATGAGTGTTTTTAGAGGAAGGATTCCAGGTTTGTCAGAAATGGTGGAGGACTGGGAATACATCACAGAGAAGGACTAGCCATCCCTTTTCTCAAGGCAAAACTATCCCTTTTGCCCAGGAATGCTGTCAGTCCCAAGCTTCCATGAGCGTTACCAATAACCATGCATGCGCACACTTAAAAAGCAGAAATTATATCATTATAACTTCAAGCAGGAGTTGGCACAGTAGGAATAGATAAAAACAAGCACTGAAATGAACAATGAGGTAAATATTAATCAAGAAACACAGGATGAATCCATGGGACTCTCATTAAAGCTAATGGGAGTTATGGTGCTAAATCACATTTAATATTTACCCCCAATGCGTTTTAACAGAGAGCAGACAGAGTGACGTATGCTCCAAGTGTCACCTCATGGGGACATGACATGGCACATTTGGAGAATGGGTCACCCCTGGACTTCCATCCACATCCTGGGCTGGTGCTGGAAATGTATTGGTGTGTATTGATCTGCTGGATCAGCATGGAGAGTGAGGAAGGAGCTGGTGTTTGTGCAGACCCTGCTGCTCTCCCCACCCAGCTGAGCTGGTGGAGCATCCCTGTGCCCAGCCAAGTGCCCAGTTCCTGCCCCCATTCCCAGTTCTGGCTGCTGCCTCAGCCAGGGTGGTTGTTGGGGGCACTGCAGTCACACACCCCGGTGAAGATGAAGGTGTTCATCAGCCTCACCTCCTTCTGCTGTGCAGGTTTGCTGCTGCCCCTGGGCTCAAAGTTTGCACGGGAGCCACAGAGGTGATTAAACACAGGTCTTCTTTTTGCTGCTTTTGTATAAATCCAGTGGTAAAATACAATTTAAAACGGTTGAAAATCCTATTGACTGAAATTAACTTCAGCTGAAGGACATTTGATTTAAGAGATTCCTCTTTCCATTTTCAGATACATTATCCCATTTTAAATTATGGGTTTTATTACAAAAGCTTATTTTTACATTCATTGTAATTCTAATTGACTTTTTTTTTATCTTGGAGAGCTGCAAAGCACTGTATCAGTGATGAAAAATGTAATTTGCAATGAGCAGTTTTACAGTTACATCCTTCCAGTGTTTTTCCTCCTTTCTATCTGTTTCATATCATGACCTCTAAACAATAGCCTAGAAGAAGGCAGAAGAGGGATTTTCTTGTGCTATTTGTCCATTTTAGAGTCATCAGGTCAAAGTTGGATGACTTTAAAAGGAAAAAGAAACAAGGGGACAGATCCAAGATTGCTCCTGTGAAGGAAGTTGATGCCTTTACCTTTGCTCAAAGGGGTTTTTTCCTCCTTCTTGCTACCTGATGTATTAGCTGCACAAATAACACATTTAGAAGAGCAATGCAGTAAAAAATTGTGAAGGGTGAAGACAATAGATTTCAAGGAAAACTACATGCAGAGCGAAAATGGTTCTAACAGCAGTAATAGCACTTCCCATTCTGCAGAGTGAATAAAAGGAAGGAGAGTGCACTACATCCACCATTGACACTTTGAAGGTGGTTTTTTTTCCAAGGTAGCTGTAAAGGCATTAATGGCACCGTTTTTTCCACAAGTGCGTGAAAAAGTATCATTTAAAAAAAAAAAAGGGAAATAAAAAGATAAACCCCAGTAAGCATTATAATATTGTCTTTGTGGACCAGTCAGGTATCTTGTTGTGAGAGACTTGAAAAGGAACAATGAAAAAAGGACTTCAATAGTCTGCTAAATAGCTGAGGTTTTATATTACAGATGAGAGTTACATTTTCTTTCCTTTTCTTTTTTTCTTTCTTGAATAGATCTGGGATAAGCATTAAAGAAATGCTGAACTATCTGAAAACAATTCTGTTAGCTGGCAGGCAGGGATGTGCCAGTTGGCACACAATGGCAGTATTTAGCTGTCCGGTCCTCTTTGCTCACTTCCTGGAATTCCTATTGGGTATAAACACTTTGGTGCTGGGAGGAAGAATTTGGATCCTCCTAACCACCTCCTCCATCCATGTCCCCAGGGCCTGGTCTCAGCTAAAAACCCCAAACTTTGGGATCTCACATCCTGCCTGAGTTTGATTGTGTTGGCTTCATTGGTTTGGCACAGCTGAGGGTTGACCCAGGTGAAATGAACCTGGGACACTTGTTCCCACCTCCACTGTCCATCCATTGCTTCCTTCTCCTGCAAATTGCCACCACTGCAGCTCAGTGTGGGGCTTGCCTGGAGAGCGGAGGGGAGAGCAGGCAGTGGAAGGTGTGACTGCAGCAGATGCCCAGGCTGAACTTTGATTCTTCAGGGCATTATTTGCAGCTACTGATTACAAAAATGAAAACAAACGTATTAGCACGTTCTTGAAGAAGAAGAGGTCTGGCTGCCTTATGTTAGTGGAGACTTGAGTTCCCAGATGTCTTGCATGCAGTAAATCACAGGGAGCACACAGCCAGCCCCTGGCATGCGGGTGTCCCTTTGAAGGATGAGGTTGTGGAGCAGTGAGCCATGTTCCCTGTGGGTAGAGTTGTTTAAGAAGGGAAAAATTTCTCATGATTCAAGAACTGCTCATCTCTTGCTGTTACTGTACTGAGAGAGATTAGCCAAGCCTGGCATGCAAATGCTGATGCCTGAGGAGCTTGGCTGTGTGCTACCAGATTTGCTCTCCCCCGTTCTGCAAAGCTAGCCATACTCTCTGAAAGGATTTCAGATGATCTGAGATTTGCTTTCCAAGTCGATGGCCAAATGCATGTGCTAATGTCCTGGCTAATCTGATCTCAGAAGTCTAAAGAGCCTCCCTCATGGACCAAAGAAGAATATGAGAGAGGCCAAATTGGATTACAGGACTCAGTGTTGTGCATCCTCCCCAGATCAGTCTTGCCTGGCCAACTGCAGAAAACAGCAGAGACTGTCACAGTCAGGGCTCATGACCTGAATGGGCTGAACCTGTGCCATGCTGCTGGAATGGCCCCTTGTGCACAAATGTTGGGTAGCTGCACCTGTTCCTTCTCTGCAGCTCTCTTCCCTCCATCTTTATATCCCTGAATAAAATAAAGGTGGAAATCTAATCCTGAAAACTTAGGATCCAGATCAAATATTTTCAGAAAGCTGCAGTTTTCACACTTTTTGGTTTCTTCTCCTTTGATTGCGTGTTTTATTCCTGATTAATATCAGCTCAGTCAGCGTCAGTGATGGATCTTAAAGAAATGTTTGTAGTGGGAATCTGCCACAGTATTTACAGCACTCACTGATCTCTCCTTTAAAAATTAAACCACACAATAGGTTAACATTTTATTCCTCCTACCAGCAGCCAGTGAGGTTCTCTGCAGTGGGCGAGGGTAGGTGAGGAGTTAGGACAGCCTCGGGCTGGCCCTGTGCTGCAGGAGGTCCCAGCTGACCCAGGTTCCTCCTCGTTGCAGCCATGGTCCTGCTCTTCGTGGTGTGGATGAAGCGCCGGGAGAAGGAGCGGCACACCAAGCAGCTGCTCATCGACCCCGAGGACGACGTCAGGGACAACATCCTCAAGTACGACGAAGAGGGAGGTGGAGAGGAGGATCAGGTGAGAAGAGCCCCTGAGCTGTGGCCAGAGAGCAGATGTGCATTCTCGAAAAAGGCAGAAACCACATTATTTTTAGTAGAATATGTGCAAAAGGGTTGTGTTCCTTTATTTATGACCAGACAGCTTTCTCTGGTGTGGTGGAGGGACAGCAGGTCCAGGACATTCAGGGTATTACTGGGATACACTCCTGGGCAAGCAGGACCATGCCAAGAGGCCAGTGCCACGGGGATTTTTCTACACCTAGGCACCTTCCTGGAGAAGGACTATAAATCACTCCATTGACACTCATGTTCAAACCATATTTCTGTTATTTAAGTCATTAAAATTGTATGTTTTACCAGAGATCTTCATAAAACCAGCCAGTAGCTACTGCCCTGCGCTGCCCTGTGGCTGCAGTCTCTTGCCTTGGCTTGCTTGATCTTCTGTGGGCTTTCCCTGCATTTACTCTAATCATCTCTAATGTGCCTTTAATTTCTTTTAATTTCTGGACATGGTTTGTGAGAAATGTCTAAAGAGATTTGGGGATTTTCTCTTTCACCACGCAGCGCGTGGTGGCAAAGCTGTGCTGGGTGACAGAGCCCTGAGCCACAGGCTGCCTGAACACGTCAGCTTTCCTCCAGTGGCTCTTCCTACAGACACCAGTGCTGATACTGCAGGAAAACTTCCCTGACTTGCACTCCTGGGATGTGTTTTTCCACTGCTACCTGTCCAATTCCTCAGCTAAAATAACAAAGTTGGGTCACTCACGTCGAAGTCACCAGTTTTTCACTCCTACCAAACACAAGTAAAGAGCCCAGGACACTCTCAAATATGATGTTCATGCAGATTATGTGACTGTACATTGTGTAATGGCTTTATTTTTTGCTTTATTTTTTTGCTTGTTGAGTTGGACTGTGTGGTTCCAGGTCAGTGCCTGGGGATCCCCCCAAAACCACTGCAGCGCATCCTGCCGTGGAGGTCCTGGTGACGAGCAGGCGAGCCCAGTGAGAGCTGCCATGGAAAACTCTGAGTTTACCCAAACCTTGAAAAGTTCTTATTCCACAGAAAAATCCTTGCAATTAACATTTCTTTTTTTTTTTTCTTATCGCTGTCAAGTTATTTATAAATATTGCTCCTGGAGATTCAGTCATCCCCATCTGAGCACAAGGATAGTTTTCCTGGTAGAACAAAGCACGGTTCTAAGCATTCCAAGTAGCTGAAGTATCTGGTTTCAGGCAACTACACAGTAGGCTTAAATATTTTAGGAAGGATTCGTTAAAAATAACAGCAAAGGATAAGCAGCAAAACACCATTACCTACATGAATACATTTTTAATGAAATATTACCTGGTTCTCATTTTGTGATAGAAACCTATTCTGTTGGGATTTTTCACAAGCAAAAAGAACATAATTACTTTGAAAGGTCTACATGCATAAATGCAATACACATTTTAATGGTTTTACTTCTGTAGAAATGTAATTGCCACTCCATTGACACTCATGTTCAAACCATATTTCTGTTATTTAAGTCATTAAAATTGTATGTTTTACCAGAGATCTTCATAAAACCAGCCAGTAGCTACTGCCCTGCGCTGCCCTGTGGCTGCAGTCTCTTGCCTTGGCTTGCTTGATCTTCTGTGGGCTTTCCCTGCATTTACTCTAATCATCTCTAATGTGCCTTTAATTTCTTTTAATTTCTGGACATGGTTTGTGAGAAATGTCTAAAGAGATTTGGGGATTTTCTCTTTCACCACGCAGCGCGTGGTGGCAAAGCTGTGCTGGGTGACAGAGCCCTGAGCCACAGGCTGCCTGAACACGTCAGCTTTCCTCCAGTGGCTCTTCCTACAGACACCAGTGCTGATACTGCAGGAAAACTTCCCTGACTTGCACTCCTGGGATGTGTTTTTCCACTGCTACCTGTCCAATTCCTCAGCTAAAATAACAAAGTTGGGTCACTCACGTCGAAGTCACCGGTTTTTCACTCCTACCAAACACAAGTAAAGAGCCCAGGACACTCTCAAATATGATGTTCATGCAGATTATGTGACTGTACATTGTGTAATGGCTTTATTTTTTGCTTTATTTTTTTGCTTGTTGAGTTGGACTGTGTGGTTCCAGGTCAGTGCCTGGGGATCCCACCAAAACCACTGCAGCACATCCTGCCGTGGAGGTCCTGGTGACGAGCAGGCGAGCCCAGTGAGAGCTGCCATGGAAAACTCTGAGTTTACCCAAACCTTGAAAAGTTCTTATTCCACAGAAAAATCCTTGCAATTAACATTTATTTTTTTTTTTTTCTTATCACTGTCAAGTTACTTATAAATATTGCTCCTGGAGATTCAGTCATCCCCATCTGAGCACAAGGATAGTTTTCCTGGTAGAACAAAGCACGGTTCTAAGCATTCCAAGTAGCTGAAGTATCTGGTTTCAGGCAACTACACAGTAGGCTTAAATATTTTAGGAAGGATTCGTTAAAAATAACAGCAAAGGATAAGCAGCAAAACACCATTACCTACATGAATACATTTTTAATGAAATATTACCTGGTTCTCATTTTGTGATAGAAACCTATTCTGTTGGGATTTTTCACAAGCAAAAAGAACATAATTACTTTGAAAGGTCTACATGCATAAATGCAATACACATTTTAATGGTTTTACTTCTGTAGAAATGTAATTGCAATAATATGTCTGCTAACTCTGTGTCTCTACATTATATTGTGTATTTTGTCAAAAAGTTATGTGTGCACCTATGCACACGCAAACAAAAGCCACGGTTTTATCCCAAATATTTAGACACTGTGTGAAATATTCAGAAAGTATTTAAATACTTAATTTAACTTATAAAATACACTCTTAGGAGGTCAATTTTATGAGCTCCTCAGAGGTCAGGTTCATCTGTAATTCAGATGGAGGTGCTACATACCCAGGGATAAGATTTGCCATCAAACTTCAGCTGAAACAGAATTAGAGCCCTCGACTTGTTTGCACATGGAGTGAGCAGGTGATCTGAACGAAAAGCTCTGGTTTTCACACTGTGCCTTCCCATTTGTCACAGGATTACGATTTAAGCCAGCTCCAGCAGCCAGAGACCATGGATCACGTGCTGAACAAGACACCTGGAGTCAGAAGGGTGGATGAAAGACCTATTGGTGCTGAACCACAGTATCCCATAAGACCAGTAATCCCACATCCAGGGGATATTGGTGATTTTATTAATGAGGTATGTTCTGTAGGCGGTCCTGTGTCACATCTTCAAAGCTTGAGCAGCTAGCTAAAGTGAGGTTTTCCTGATTGCACACACCAAGCAGTGCTACTGCTCAGGCCAGAAATCTGATGCCAGCCAGGGAAAGGATTGGTGTGAGCCAAGGGTGCAGGGTTTGGCCTAATGAAGGCATTGAACCAGCAAAAAGCCCAAGATTTCTGTCTCATGGGTGTCACAAACACCATGCTTTTCAGAACCCAGGCAGAATGAGCCATTTGTGGCTCCTGTGCTTGTAATTATTTCAGCAGTCTGTGCCTTCCTCGTAAGCTGTGTTTGGTGTAAAGCCTCAAAGAGTTTGCAGCACAGAGAGACTCAGATCAGACAGAGTTTCTTTATTTTATGTTAGATTACTGCTCCTTTATCTGCCTGTACAAATATCTATCCATTTGGTATTTGTTATCTCATTTTTAGTTTTGAGTGATTGAGTGGTTACAAACCAATCAATGCATTATTTCCTCTGAGACACAGAACACCATCCATTTCCTAAGCCAGAAAAATAAATGTTACAGCCATTTAATTCTATTATTACATGCATTTCCTGCTGTGCTTTACTCATTTTCGTCATTAAAATGCCTTCTTCCTTTGTCCCTTTGCCCATCCTTCACTCACATTTACACACATCTGTGCTCGTGAGGACTCACTGTCCTTACCCACGCCCCTGCTGCTGAAAGCAGTTCCATCTCCCCACGCTGAGGCCAGGGCTTCTGAGGGTGGGAATGTGGAACATTTGCTTTATTGCAGGGCAATTCCACCCGGCTTTTCCTGACACTGGGCTCCGCAGCAAAGCAATTCTTTTTCTCCATATCCCGAGGCCATTTCCATGGCCTGCCTACACTGCTGCCCACACTGCACAGGAGCAGCAATGCTCCCCAGCCTTCTGCCCAGGATTCCACACCCCACGTCTGTCCTAATTGCAGAATTTTGCCAGGAGTGATTTTTTTTTATTACTATTTTGTTTTCCTGAAGGAACGAAAATCACCAGAATTAAAATATTGGTGGGAGAGGAAGGGTGCTGGTTTTTGTTTCATTGGCTAAACTGGAGATCTTAACAGGCAACCCCAAGGGCACGCTGGTAGGACAGAAAGCTCTCCAGATCCAGAAATGGATCATTGGACATAAACAAATGGAAATAACGACTCTTTTCAGGGACAGTGGGAGTTACAGGGTTTTCTGCTGGGGGCAGCTGAGGTCTCTACCTGGAGGTGCATCCGGGAAGCCCCAGGAATACAATTTTTCCCTTTTGGCTTCGCTGCAGGGACCCCAACCATGCCAGCGCCCCTCAGACCCCGTGGTGGGCATTAACACCGTGTGTTCCTTCTCCCCCCAGGGCCTGCGTGCAGCAGACAACGACCCCACAGCCCCCCCCTACGACTCCCTGCTCGTCTTCGACTACGAGGGCAGCGGCTCCACCGCCGGCTCCGTCAGCTCCCTCAACTCCTCCAGCTCCGGGGACCAGGACTACGACTACCTGAACGACTGGGGGCCCCGCTTCAAGAAACTGGCGGACATGTACGGGGGAGGAGAGGAAGATTAAACTGACCTCATCTTATTACAAAAATTTTAGTGGTGATATAGGAGGTTTCTTTTTTTTTTCCTTTTTTTCTGTTGTATTTTTTTTTTCCTAGAATATTGAGCTGTCTCGCATGAACACTTGTCTCTGCTGCAGGTTTCTTTTTGGGTTTTTTTTTGTTTTTTTAATGTCAGCTGGGATATTGCTCGTTTACCTGCTTTATGACTAAAGAGAGTGAAAGGCACTCTGTCTTAACTTGAATTTCTTAGAACAGAAGCACTGTTTTTAAAATATATATATATATATATATATTTGAAAGTGCCTTTTGGTGCATGTGTCAGATTCCCTTCAATCTCAGGAGTGATGAAAACAAACATACAACCATCCTGGGCAGCACTCCCTGTGACCCTAAGCCAGTTCTAGCTGGGAAGGAGTTAACAAAAAGGAACTGTGGAGATTGTTTCTTTTTTGCCTTTTTTTGTTTTGTTTTGTTTCGTTGGTTTTTTTTAAGGGGGTGACTCATTCTGGGGTGGAAGAAGATGGGGGGTGGGGAGGGGGGGGAGGTGTTTTGAGTCAAAATCTTAACAGCCATCTTTAAGCCTCAGCAGGTGGTGAACTAGTCATCATGTTGTATATAATTCAGTGTTATCAGATGCAAAATACTGACCAGAGGGCTCTGCTGTCCCCTGGTCACACTCAATGTAGCTGCATAGAACTATAGCATTGATAAAGCCTTTGGTTATTGCAACAGAAATCTCCGACAGCCCTTGCCTAAACCCTACGAAGTAAACGGTGACATGACCAAAGGCCCATCTGTTTGTTTTTCTGCTATCGCCGTGTTTTGGCTCCCACGACCTCGTGAGCGATGGACACGCCGGCGGGGTGAGGTGGAGGTGGAGGTGGAGGTGGAAGTGGTGGTGTCCCCCATCCCTGGGGATGCCCAGCACCGGTGCTGCTCTCCTGGCAGGGTTTGTGCGGCCGAGGCAGTGCCAAGGACAGGGACAGGTTACCCACACTTTTCCCATCCCTAAGTATGGAGTTAGTCTAGTACCACATTAATGCCTTGGAGCATTAGTAGCCAAAGCTCAACAACATCGTGTGACTCAGCTAATGTGTGTCCTTTCTATTCGATGGGTAGGCGCTGCTATCTGTAGTAAATGTGTTTTTTTGGAGAAGAAGTGCAACGAGGGCCTGTTAAGTATCTTGTGGTTAATATGCTCAAGCATTGCCAAGTAAGCAAGAGGTTTCGCAGCATCCAGGCATAATTCAACATCAGTATTATAAATGGTAGCAAACTACCTAGTTTATATGTAGGGTCAGTTTAACCAATAACAAATAGTTATTAGCTTTTTTTATTACATTTTTCCTTTACTGATTTGGACTAGTGGGTTTATGTCTAATGTTTGTAAAATGATTTAGACTGCATGGATGTGTAATATAAACCACATTTAATGGATTATGAGCCACTTAATTAATGTGCTATGAAATCTTGGATTACCTGTGTTTTATATTCTGCAGACGATTTTGCAGTGGGTTCGCTAAAACTTGTAAAAGTGCTTAGATATATTTTCCTTTAAATCCAAGAATGTGCACAGTATTGGAAAGTGATTATCCAGGGGATAATCACGCTTTTTTTGATATCTCTATTGATTCTCAAGTTGAATGCTAAGAGTTAAAGGGGGGGAGGCGGGGGGAGCGAGCGCGTGCACATGAGAGCGAGAATGAGAGGACGAGAGCTTGGGGTGATGAGTGAGAGCCTTTCAGAGGGTAAATTGGGCTGCAAGATCGTCTCTATAGATTTTTGAAATGCTCCTAGTGCATTTTATATTTCATTGTATCATATTTTCTATAAAATGCAATTTCTGTAAATTAATGAGCATTTGAAATGTGTCTTGTATGAAGTGGAATATGGTAAAAGTCTGCCTGAGGGGACTTCAGCGTTACCAGGATGTTATCAACCAACAAGGGTGAGATCTTTCTTTTTGTCTTGGTCGCCAGTCAGTGGGTCAGTTTGTCTTTCATGGCTCGGAGAGCAAACTCACTCTCACCCAAGGTTCTTGAGGACACCAGGAGGCAATAGTGTGGACCTCAGAGGAGAGGGATGACGCTAATGGCACCAGCAAGGTGAGGATGTCACACCACGGGCATGGGCTGGCAGCACCTGACACTCTTCCAGATTCCCATTCCATCGTTGTGAGCTCAGTCATCTTGTGTGACCACCATGAAAGTCTAAGTTTGCTTCTGCCGTGTGCCGTCCCCCTCCTCTCGACCACTCTTGGCAAACCTCATAGCCCCTGTTCCCTGGCACAGAGGCTGCATGGCCCCACAGCCTCTCTTCCTTACCCACGGCACTCTTGATTCTTCCCTGTTTCTTTTGGAAAAGCCACGGGCTGGAATATTTCACCACCAGGGCTTTGCACCTCTGCAGAAGCTGCTCGTGCACAGGCACAGCGAATAATAAAAATGCACTTGGTGTTTCTTGCTGCTGGTGTCCGTCGCCGTAGCCTCATCACCGACACGGGAGGAGGACTCAGCTCGAGGGCCGGGTGATGCCGATGGTTCTCCATCCGCTGGGTCGGTGCCGCTGCCTGCCGGCTCCGCGCGGCTCCTGGAATGCTTGTGTGGATCCTGCAAAGCCAGGTCTCTGCTGTGAGCTGTGCCTTGCCACCCACCTGGCACTGCTTACCTGGGAGAGCAATTCAATCCCTGCTCCAGAGTGCTTGGTGCTTAACATCTGCTGTGGCTTGGGCTGGGATGGGGGTTTCAGGTAGGGAAGGGCGGCTCCAGGCCGTCAGCAGTGTGCACTCTCCCCAGCGGTGAAAGGAGCCACTTAGCCATGGAGGGGATGTTGTCTGACTTCAGCTTGTCTAAACATTTCAGGTTTTCAAGAATTTATGCAACCTAAGTCAAACAAAACTCTTCGAGTGATTAAAAATAAACCAACCTCTTTCCATTGGCGACTTTTTTTAAAATCAGCGGATTTTCTTTTCTGCAGCATTTGCAATCCAGCCATTCCAATCCCACGAGCCTATAAATCAAACCAAACAGATTATTGTGTTTTGACCCAGTTCTGTTCAGTCTCCCTCTGCAGGACCTCTTCCTTCTTTTCCTCTTCCCCTTTCTCCTCCCTGTGTACTCCCTCTCTGAGGTTTACAGCCCCACAAGCAGCAGCAGCCTCAGGCCACTTTTCTCGCAGTGGGATTGCTGGAAGGTAAGCGAGGGGCACATCCAGCAATGAAAAGAGATCACTTTTTACAAACCTTTTTGCTCGCTAAGGTTACTGGTGGTTTGTAACCCAGCTAAGAAAATTTACATTAATCCACGGGGTCCCATTGACAAGGTGACTTTGCCATCACTCTGTCCCCCTCTGGTCCTCATGGATGTGACACATCAGTTGCAGCTGGAGGTGACTTTCAAGGAGCTGTGGTGAGGCAGAGAGCCCTTTGGCTGAGCCTGCAGTTGCTGTTTATTCTGAGAGGCCACAGGAGGGGTTAATGCATAGACACCGGAGTCCCTGTTCCCTGACTGATCTAAACTAAAACATTAAACTGTTAGAATAAGTGATCCCCACTCTTTGCACCCTTCAAGTTAGTGGGGAAGAGCTTGCTTTCAGGCAGGTGCAGGGTATCCTGTCCCTAAACCACCACTGTCCCACCCTGTTACCCCATAGCACTCCAGGGGACACCACCACAGCTCTCCCTGCTGCCTGAGGGATGGGGACAGTGAGTTCCCAAGGCACTGAGGCTGAACACGTGGTGGCCTCCCTGCCTCCTAAGGATGAGGATTGCACACCCCCAAGCCAGGCACGTGCAGGTCCAGTGTCACAGCTGTACCCACAGCCACCCCTGGCAGAGCATGGCCCACAGCCCTGGTGGTCTGTTCATCACGTAGCCTAAGACTGGGAGCAGCATCAGTCACAGAAATGCTTTGCAAGGCAAGGAGGAGATTCAGCAGGTAATTACTGACAGTAAATAGGCAAGTCTGTTCTAGGTGTCCCACGTTCTAGTCACGGTTTCGCTTCTGGTTTTGTGTTTCCCATTTTTTCCGCTTTTTTGTTGGACCAGGCAATGCCATTGGCAGCTGTACAATGGTGATGGGGAGTTTGCTCCCCGTGGGTTTTTAGGGACAGTTGGGTCCAAATCCAGCCTTCAGAAGTGGGGTTTCAGAGGTGGCTGTAACTGCTTCACGTAGGGTGGACACTCGGGCGTTGAAGAACGGCAATGGTCAGTGCAGCGTCTGTACCACGCAATATGCCAAGATTGCAACTTTGTTTAATCTAAAAAAAAAACCTTATTAAAAAACTTACTAAAGGTAAAATACAGAACTTTTATTTGTGATGTTTTTTGGAGCTCTTCATTTTAAGTGTGAAAAAAAATACTGGGGGAGGGGGGGAATGCTGTGTCACGATGAATGCAAGTGTTTAAAACAGCAGCCAGACAACGTGGGTATCTCCCACGCAAATTAACTCATTTCATGGGGAAAATAAAAGTTCTTTTCAGTCCACACCAACCCCACATACAACTGCTCACACACAGTGTACATAATGTAGTTAGTGCTTGAAGCTACAAACCTAATAGGGGGAAAAAACCCCAACAACATGTAGGTGTACAATTGGAGCACTTTTCTTTTTTCTTAATTTTAATTTTAATGATGATTTTGCATGTTTCCTTTCTGATGGAGAAGCTGTGTAGCAGCCCGCATGACTGTGGTTGTTCTCAAGGAAGACTTCTGCTGTTCTGCTGTATTCACGCTGAAGCGCAAAAGCAAAAGTTTGCGTCTGTTAACCCAGTTCAAAAACCTTTTTTTGTAACCGCCAACAGCACAAATATTTTGTATTGTTGTTTGTACCATTTTTGTACCAAAAACAAAAGAGGAAAAAAAAAAAAAAAGGGAAGAAAGTAAATGTTTTCAATGTGTTTTTAGTGCCACTGCAATCTTGGTTTCCAAACTGAGTGACAGGTTTGCTGATTTATTGTGTATCAAAGCTGAACTGGCGCACTGACGCCTGGCTCCAGTGTAATAAAAATAAAGTCCCCCTTTT